GCAAGGACTCGTGGCTGCATAGATGTCATTATTCATGGCCCAGTTGAACCAAACGCCCGTTGTAAATAAACAGGCGGACATTGCTGCCACTAGACTGCTCCTGATTGGACGATTCCTTGTGACGTCAACGGTAGCCTTGGCAGTCAATGGTAGGTCACCCTGCCAACTGTGCTGTCCCCTGAGCAGTAGGTTTGACTGTGGCTGGTGATACGAGCTTTTAGTGGTCGCTAGAAAATTACTTTACCGGTCTGGTGAGTCGATACCGGTTGGGAGGAATCCCGTACCCCTGGCCTGTACCCTGCATTCATTTCATGAATGGTCCCTGACTTCACTCTACGAATGGCTTACTGGTCGTACTAAACAAATACTATCAAATAAGGCGTTAAGTTACAAGCGTCCAATGTAAAGATATATTTTTACTTTCATGTGAATTATTTCATAAATTTTGAAAAGAAGTGCAATTATACCTACAGAACAGCACGTATAGCATGACAATTGACAGACGTCGGTATGGCTGACCTTCCGAAGCCAAAGTGCCCTCTGAGACATCGTTGTCTTCAATGGGTATCCGCTGCGATACCACGCCTCTGACCTGGCGGCAGGTCGCGCCATAAGGCGTCCATGGCTCACGCGGCGGCCGATAAGCGGGTGCTGGTGATCGGCTCCGGGTACGTCTCCGAGCCCCTGGTCGAGTACCTGTCGCGAGACCCCAAGACGCACATCCACCTGGGTAAGTAGCGGCGGGGTGGGGGATGAGGGGAGAAAGCCTGATGATTAATATCCTCCATACCTGTTGCGTTGTTCCGGTGTTGTTAAGAAAATGCTTCGACGCTTTGCCAAATTGTTTCTGTTGACTAATAATATCGGACATCGTATTTACGATCTTTGATTTACCTACCCCGCATCAATGATAAATTTCATTTATAATTGCGCTATTTTTGTCGCTTTGATATCTACTATTATCCGTTTGAGTTAGAGGTGGCAAAATGTGGACCCGAGGACCCGGTCCAAAGAACCAGTCTGGACCCATACGGGTCCAGACCGGTTCCTGGAAATTTTCGGACGGGTCCAACCGGGTCCTACCATAAACTGTACATCTTGCACACTACACATTATTGCAAAATATGAAGTGAATGAAGCGAATGTTTCTTGGTACACAGCAGCTCATGAGTATTCCCAGTGAGAAATAGGTTGTTTTACATGATGCAACTAATGATACCTACAAGTAGTTCGTATTAATTGACTTTGGGGAACCGGGTCCAACTGGTTCCGATTCCAACTAAGGCCGGGTCCGACTGGTTCCAGAAATGTCCAGCCGGGTCTGGTTCGAGTCTGGTTCCCAAAATTTTCATCTTTTGCCACCTCTAGTTTGAGTTATCTATCTTGTTGTTAGCAGCTGTTTTATCACCAATCCATGTTGTGACATCCGTTTATGTTCATGGACAGCGTCGGCGGTGCAGAATGAGCTGGACGCACTGAGCACCAAGTACGACAACACGGTGGGAACCCTGCTCAACGTGACCGAGCGGCCCGACCACCTCAGCGGACTGGTTGAGGTCAGTGGCGGGGGTGGGTCAGCTGGATCAATACTGGGGGGCCAGTGGATCAATGGTGAGGTCACGGGGTCAGTGGTGAGGTCACAGTAGCCAGTGGCGAAGTATATGGGGATGCAGCGATGAGTGAGGTCTCGAATATGTCAGTAGGGATCGGTGGTGTGGCAGGGTCAGTGGAGACTGAAGGTCGATGATATTAGGGTTTTCGGTTTTCGGTGTTTCTGATATAGGTTCGAAAACACTCAATACTGACTGAATTCCACCCTCGTTTGTCGCAGGACGCGGACGTGGTGGTGTCGCTGCTGCCGTACTCGCTGCACCCGGTGGTGGCGCGCGCCTGCATCCAGCACAAGACCGATCTGGTGACGGCCTCGTACTGCACTCCCGAGATGCGCGCTCTGGAGCAGGCCGCTAAGGACGCCGGTATAACGGTGGTGAACGAGGTGGGCCTGGATCCGGGCATCGACCACCTGCTGGCCATGGAGTGCTTCGACGAGGTCCACCACGGCGGAGGTCAGTCGGTCGGTTGAAACACGCCGTTTGACCTCAAGTAAAAGCATGGTCATTTGATTTTCTGGTCTGTTTTGGATTTTTGACCAGCTCGAAGAAAGCGATTTGCTGAGGGACTCTTGCGAATGGTTTTTGTTATGTCATTTCGCTGTGGTCATATTGACAATGATGACAATGGCGTTAAAGGAGCTGTTTTAAGGTGGACAGGTTACATGACATTCACAGCTGGTCTGCGACTGCTACTATTTCTTAGAAATGACTACTCACTCTTCCGCGCTTACCGTAATAACGAGTCTGATAACTTGCGATAAGATGATAAGTAACAACTGCTGGTAATTTCACAGGCAAGGTGAAGTCGTTTGTTTCCTACTGCGGAGGCCTGCCGGCGCCCGAGTGCTCCGACAACGCCCTGAGGTACAAGTTCTCCTGGTCGCCGATCGGTGTCCTCCGCAACACAACTCAGGTACGAAATCTGCTTTTGAAACTTATGTGACACAGTTTGCTTATTTGCACAGACTGAAGTATATGAATCATTTTGAAGTATTGGTTTGTACAATTGCATGTGGTTGCACGTTTGCGAAATGATCCTGTTCCTGGCTGCATCAATGACTGAAGTGATCCTAATGAGTGGGTGTCAGTGAGTAGTCATAAGAACGTATCGCTATGCGCCAGACCTTTAATCGCTCTTATTATCGCCTCACGTGGTGTTCCCTCGTCCCTCTCAGGGCGCCTCGTACCTGAAGGACGGTAAGATGGTGGAAATCCCGGCGGGCCAGCTGCTGCACTCCTCTCAGCGGATGGACTTCTTGCCGGGCTTCGCGCTGGAGGGCTTTGCCAACCGCGACTCCACCATCTACGGCAAGCTGTACGGCATCCAGGAGGCGCAGACGATCCTGCGCGGCACACTACGCTACTGCGGCTACTCAGAGGCCGTGCTGGGTCTCCAGGAGACCGGTCTCCTCAGCGACGACTCGCACCCGGCCGTGCATCCCGGCGGTCCCGACATCACCTGGTACGAGCTGCTCTGCACCCTGCTCGGCCAGGAGGGCTCCGTGTTCTACGACAACCTCCGGCTGCTGCTGCTGCAGCGCGCCGGCAGCGAACAGCGCGTCCAGGCCATGGAGAAGCTCGGACTGCTCAGCGACGCTCCCGTCCACAAGAGCGGCTCGCTGCTGCGCGCGCTCAGTGATCACCTGGCCGAGAGGCTGCGCTTCGGCGCCGGGGAGCGGGACCTGGTGGTGCTGCGTCACGAGATTGACATCGAGTGGCCCGACAAGCGGCTGGAGCGGCGCGGAATCAACCTGGTGACGTACGGCCAGCCGGACGGCTTCTCAGCGATGGCGCGCACCGTCGGCTACCCGTGCGCCATCGCCACCCAGATGGTGCTCAACGGAGAGATCCAGGGCAAGGGCATGGTGCTGCCGCTGACGCCAGAAATATTCCGGCCACTGCTGAAGCGGCTCCAGCATGAGGGCATCACGGCCACCCAGAAGTCGACCAGCCTGTAGGAAATTGGAACTGGAGTGCGAGGACAGAGGGGATGTCACCGATTTGACGACGCCCCGCGATGGTTAACGAATATGGGGAGTCTGGCTGGAGCACTGGATACCAATCCAGGGAACTCAGGACGAAGGCCCTGATCCAGCTATTTACCTGCCAACAACCGAACGAGCTTACTCAGTCTCAAGGCGATGCAGCAATGATATAAGACGAGGTTCGCTGGGCGAGATAATGTGTTCTTCGCTTGTTTGTCGTCCCTTACAGAGCTAGATACAGACATATTTAGTACAGAATTAGGATCGAAGCTGTTAGGTCAAGCCAGTGGTAGTAGTTCATGGTCACAGTTGGAAGAGTTGGGATGTGGAATCATGATCTGAATTAGGTGTGTGTTCATTTTGTGGATGATGTAAGCGTAGCTCTTGTGCCGATATTAGTTAATACTCAATTTAGTGGTATTATTTACAGCATAGTACCGTGAACACAGGTTTGTGACTTTCATAGCTGTTCACAGAAACTGAAGACAAGCGGAGGGACTTACGTGGGTCAATAGACTCGCGCGACGGCTAAAAGACATGCTGTTACACAAATGACAAACCATACGCGCAACGATAGCTCAAACAAGTGCCTTCTAATGTGAACTGTTACTTGCCATATTTGAGGGGCCCATAGTGCGACAGCTTTGATGTAAACTATTGAATCTCATTGCACTCGGTCAGCTTCAAAGTGCCGCTTTTGAAACTCGACTATCTCTTCCAGCATCGCGTTGGTATCAGAGAGCTTATACACGGTTAGCATTACGAGCTTTGCGATCGAGCTTAGAACGGCATTGACGTGTTTGCGGGCGATGTTTTTCATGTCGCTAATGATGAACTTATGAAGGCTGGTTTGGACGATGAATTTTGACCACTGGTACTGATACCTACATGTGGCTATAGCTTTGTTCCATATAGTGTAAATAAACTATGTCATTGTTTACTTTGTTTGAGTGCATATTATCGATAGGGTGGGGGGAGACGGTTGTGAGGTTTTTGTTCATTTGGATAGATAGTTGGCTTGTAAAACCCTAGCACGAAGACAAGGCAACAAACACGCAGTGGGCTATTCGTCCGTGTCTGGAATCTGTGCAATCGGCGCAAATCGCGGAGAGCATCGAGCCTGCCTCCGGAGCCATAAGTCCGTCATTTCCATGGATACGTCAGCGAGGCCCTTTCCAAATATACAGACACATTATACATAATCGCAGGTGGAATTAAATTGACTGATCGGTGGCGTTCCAGGTACTTCGGCCCAGCCCTGGATCGTCGACGCTGGCTACCTGTACTGTACCCTAGAGCCGAAGTTCAATTTCTGAATGTCTCAGGGAGCACTGATAATTACATAAAGTTGAATCTCTTATAGGTACCTTACAAGTAGCAGGCACTGCTATAAATACAACAGTACATATGTACATGTATTTGAACAAATAAAATATTCACAGATAAAGCCATAACGGACGCCAATGAGCAGGCACATCCATACCAGTATAGCGATCGGCCAATACGCCGCCTGCACACGAGAGCGAATTGAAATGCACCACCCTGTCGCTAGATGGCACGAAAGTCGCCTGCGGGGCGTCCATCATATCATATAACAGACGCACAATGGACAGGTGATGCTGTTTCCGGCGCAATTATTGCGCGTGCTGCCTTCGAAATAATCGTGCCGAGAAAACGTGAAGAGACAAGATAAAACCGCGATCGAGAAGAGACTAGATCAAGAAGGAAGTAAGAGTGCACGAAATCGGGAAGAATGTGCCATCGGAGATGATGAAAATTAAGAATCAATGCCCACGATCACACTGGCCAAAGGTGGTGACAATAGCACACAGCACACAACTGCTCGGATCACAGTCGCAAGACACACCGGACGTAAAACGCGCTGCTCTGTTGCAGCTGGGGCACAGCGACGGCCCGCTGCTTGGTCTGACCTCAACGCCAGCCGGGTGCGACGATCTTTGTGCCCGCCGCTGGTAAGGAGAGCACCATGAAATGCCTAACAGTTGGCACCGTATTGCGCCGCGCTGCCCACTCCCGTATCCGGCTCTGTAGTCTGCACCGACCTGACAAACGCACAACCAACTGGTCACATAGCCGGGCTAGCCGCCGCCGAGAGAGTACTCACTGGCGAGATAGCCTCAGCGGGCTAACCTCGGCATGCCAGCTTATGTGAGCTAGCCTCGACGAGCTAGTCTCGGTGACATAGCCTCGACAAGCTAGCCTCTCAGCAAAGAGGCCGATTTTTCCACACCGCGCCCGTTCGACCCCGGCCAGACACCATCCTTTGTGACCTTCTCAGCGATCCAACGGCAGTTTCGACCTGGCGGCAGACGGCGCTCATGTAGGGGACGGCACACCGCTCGCGGCGGCAGAGGCTGTGGGCCGACCGCTACGCAGTGACCACGCGGTTGCCATTCTGATGAACGGCCACGGGCAGAGTGGCGGACGGCTTCGATTTGAACTTGAGGTAGGCGAACCAGCAGCTCGCGAATATGCTGCGAAGGGAATGGCACGTCAGGGCTTGCGGGCGGTCGAGCTAGCGAATATTCTGACGAAACCGCTGGGTACTTGGAGCTGGAGTTAGGTAACGTTTGGTGTGATAAGGCATAGCAAGCTCAACAAAAACTATCGCACTGGACGCACTATTAAACCAGGTCAGCACCTAGTACATATGGCCCACATATGATAGTCATCAGCCCCCCCATTCTACCGTGCAAAACTACTATGTTGAGTCAGGGGTCATGTTGGGTCATAGGTTGGGTGACCCAACCAACATAGCATTTTTTGCCTTTGCACGGCAGCATTGTATAGTATCCCAATATCATCATTCATCAGTATTGTAGCCTTTGTAGCCAGCCCCCATCGTTATGCTCCTACCGTGTCCTACCACGTCTGACTCGCCCAACACGACCAGTGTGCCGTCACCACAACTCCTCCCTCCCTCCAATCCTTTCCGACATCCACCCACCTGGGAATTTCTTTGCTGTATTTATATTATCAGCCTGTCCACTTTCAGCAAACGTCCACCCACCTGATGTGCAGACCGACGACGACCAGCGGGCCGCCCTGAAAGTCGCTGTTGAACCACATGCCGTAGTAGGTGATGGCGATGTTCTTGATGCAGCCAATCACTGTGGTGACCAGCGCCGAGTTGTGCTGCGTACACAGCATGGTCGTGTACATCAGCACGGTGCCCATGGCGCACGAGGTGAGAAAGTGGAACTGGAAGCGGCCGTCCGACCAGCCGGCGAACTCGTACACCTGGCGGAGAGCGCAGGGACGTCAGTGAGGGCAGAGGTTGAGTGGAACGACGGTCTGCGGAGAGCGGGGAATGTGCACTGGTGATGTCAGAGAAAATCAGCACAATGAAGGTTCGCATCGACATATCCTACATTGCCCTTGATCCTCGCCTCTGTCTATCGCCACCTAGCCTTCCTCTCATCCGCTGCCCCACATTAGCTTCTCCATCTCCACATTCCGATATATTGTCGCTGAGGCGTCCTCAAACTCATACCATCATTCTGACATCCTCGTCGCCCAATCTCAGCTTCCCTCACGTCCACTATCTCCCGCCACTCTGCCCGTATCTCTCTCCTATCTCCCTACTTCACAACGGTCCCATCACCCTTCCCATTCCCATCCCAGAGTGATTCCAATCACCCTTCCACCCCCACCCTATTCCCTTCCTGCACACCGTACCAGATTCCAGTGTCCGAGCCACCAGGCGACCAGCGACAGCGGGGCGATCATGAACAGCGCGTTGTAGAAGGCCAGGCCGTTCTTGCCCAGGTCGCGCGCCTCCAGTTTCTGTTTGGAGTAGACGCCGTTGGCGGCCGTGAATAGGTCGTTGGTGAACACCATCGTGTAGCCCATCAGGTCAAACGACGGGTCGGCGCTGTCGGGAGAGGTGTCAGGGTCAGCGGGAGTGGCGGCATGCGGCGACGGATAGACCGGGTCGGTAGAAGGGTGACACACTGCGGCAGTGCGGCGGGCAGAGGAGGATGAGAATGAACCATGATTTCTACCAAGATGGAGAGCAGGTAAGCAAAAATATGCATAAGAAGTTCTGCTGTACGTACTACCGTACTTCTTAATTTAATGTAAAATTAAAATATGACGGAGCCGGATGAGTGATGTCCCTTACTGCAATAGCCATACAGCATACTTCCGCAGCCACCATCTTAAAACCAATATCCATGAATAAAAACGTCGCACATCTCCACCGCATGGCGGTTTAGCGACCGCGGTGATTCACTCAAGCACGGTGATCTCACGGCCACAACTCAGCATCGAGCAGACACGGCCAGTGGCTAACGGGACGTAATCACCTAAAAGTGGGACTGCGCCTCGAAGTCGAATCAGCTATGGGTGTGTACGGATAACTACATCGGCTAAACAGCCATGACGCATCGAAGAATTAGCATTCAGGACAGCAAAGCTAGAACCATCCGGGCAGGGCCAACATGAAAGAGCGACGGTGGACAGGAGTTAGGCAGAAGTGCTGGTGTCAAGTGCTGAGTGTATAGAGAAGGACTAACGGAGAGCTGAGTATTTGGCTGGGATGCCGAGAATTGGTTCTAAGTGTCTGCCTGGATGTGTGAGTCTTTGGGTGTCTGGTGTATCGGAACGGGTGTCTTAGTGATGACTGGTGAGTGTTCGGGGGTACGGTGTTGGAAAAGTTTGGAAAGCCTGGAGTCTAGCGTGCCGATATATGAGTGCCGAGTTACTGAATGCCGGAGTGTCTGGACTAGGGTTCCTATCCTACTTCCTTGTCTGTGTCCGAGAGACGGGTGTGGTAACTCACCAGGCAGCCACGATGGCGCCAAGCACCATGCCGTAGACACTCAGCTGAACGGCCAGCTCCGGACGAACCCTGCGGGAGAAGCCGAGTTTGAGGTCAGTTGGAAAGACACAGCCATAAGTCAGATGACCAGCTCTGAACGTACCCGGCGGGAGGGGGGGGGGCACGATCAGAGGTCAGGTGGCCAGCTCCGGGCGTACCCTGCTGCAAAGTAACAAGTCGGAGGTCAGATGAGTCCTGCTAAGGGCAAACGGAGGGCAAACAGTCACCTATGCTGAGCACTCTTCAACAACAACAACAACAAAACACATTTATTAGGCATAAAAATGGAAATAAGCAAGTAGTCCAGGTGGTGGTGCAAAAGCTGATGCTTAAATCGAGGCACCACCACCTGGTAACGTAAACAGAATAAATGAATATGGTACAATCCAGGGCCGCGGAGAGTCAGGTCGGCTGCCGCGACAGTTTGCATTGATAAGCGGTGATAGCGGGCCGGCGCCAGTCCACCGAGACGGGGCTATATCAGTCTGGAGGTGTTTTTGAGGAAGGATTGAAAGGCAAGGAGAACCTGAGGTGCGTTTTGCTTTGTCGTGTTGTGTCCGTGTAGAAGTGTGTCTAATTTCATGGTGTCTGATTGGTTGTTGAAATCAATGTTGAGGTGTGTGGATACTTGTGCAAATAGTGTGGACCTCGTCAGTGCGTAGTGTGGGCAGTGAAGGATGAAGTGTTTTGTGTTTTCTTGTGTGTAGCCACAGGCGCACTCGGGGCTTGTTACTTTTTGTATAGAGTACTGGTGTGCGTTTAACTTGGACATCCCCAGTCTGATTTGTGTGTGCAAAGTGTTCCCAACCTTAGTTCCTAGTGCGTTGTAGTGTGGGGGCTGTGGTGTGCCGAGTAGTAGTTTAATGCTTTGTTTGAATTTTTTCATCTCTTGGCAGTTTCGTATGTGCGTAGGCAATTGGTTCCAGTGCAGGGATGTTTTGGGAATTAAGGATCTCTGGTAGCAGGATTTTGTAGTTCGCGGGACTGTGTGGTATGTGTGGTATTCGCGGGACTTCGGGTATGTACGCGTGGTGCGCCTTGTGCATTGTGCAATACACAGATTAAACACGATGATATGAAAAACACAAACAACGAAGCCCAGCGTCACTGTAGACAATGCACAGCAATAACTAGCAACACCAAACAGTAGACTCTTCTCCAGCTTGGCTCTATTTGGGGTTGTAGGGTCCGCTGGCTTCCTGGTTCATGCACCAGCCGTGTCCGTTACTGTGACCACGGCCGACTTACAGAACCAATCCCGATCCTGCCCACCAAACTTATTCGTGCACTAGCAGCACGGTCCACTAGCGGCCCAAAGGCACACTTGTTCAAAACTGCCCTCTGAAGCATTTCTTTCCCTGCCCCAACCCCATTTGTCGTTCTCATCTGACACTCAATAGGCGCTGACACAGCACCACACCACCGCCACCACCTGTCGAGTCAGTGCCGTGTCAGCCCTTTCACGTCATGACACTGCACAGGTGATTGGTGAAGGACACCACCTACACGCTACACAGCTGCAGTGGTTACCGTACCGTAACCAGGGAGTCATGGCAATGTGCATCGGATAAAACATCACCAGTGTTTCGTGATACCGCAAAGCACAATGCACAGGTCTAACCCGATCACCCGTACACATTGTGCAGCGGTCAGACCAGGATCACCAATGTGTATCGTGACCAGACAGTGCACCTCTCAGGCCCAGCCCCCAGTCCTGACCCCGTTCCGACTCCGAAAAGAGCCGGCGCCACTGGACCGTCCAATACCTGACCGCAATCTCATAGGTATGCTTCAGTGCAGTCATCTATCGTGCACGTCAAACGGTTTATGTGTCACCCATTGATTTGATATACGAGTTTGTACAAACGAGCACAACCCGATGCCAGCAGTCGGCATGTGCCTTCATTGTGCTTGCATGACTGCTTGCTGACCGAGCACGACCGCTAGTCCGGCCAGCCAGAGAAGCGAACTGCTCGACAGTCGTATCCCGCCGGCCAGATAAACGTAGGTACTACTGAATAGGGGTTGGCATAGAGCCAAGCCATAGGATTGTGCCATGAGTCAACGTGTTCAGAAAACGCATCACTGTCCATAAACAGTAGAAATAGGACTGAAACTGACTGTGTATTGTGTGTAACTCAATTTTTGTACATAATGCAAGCTGGCCACAGTATCACAAGCTTCTTCACAATACGGTATCCTTTCCATAAACCACACCAAATGCAGCAGTGTGTTATGTCTCTTCGATTATGAAATCAAATTTCATAAATGAGTCCCAGTGTTAGTGACAAATATCACACGAGCCGCCAAGCCGCCAATTCCGTACAAAAGACATACAACTGCAATTGCATTATCTTCCTCCTCACTTGAATAATGAAATCATTAGACAGGTTTACGGTCAAGCGCTTGGAAGCGCCGACCTTATCCCGTGCCATGCTGGGCTCTTCGTTAGACCCCGGCCAAACGAATCCCATGTCCAAAGGGTCCAGGTGTTTACGCAGAATCGATCGGGAGGGGGCAACACGCGGTGAAATTCCCAGGGCCACCTGCGCTGGGCCGCGAAAACAGGTGCATTAGCCGAATGGTCGGTCGGTGAACTCCTGTGGTGTTACCTGCTACCGTACCACCGTGTGGGGGACGGCAGGGGACTGAAGGTATGCGCCCATCCAGGGGCCCGCGGTGTGGGATCTCCAGACGAGAAGCTGCCAGAAGGCACCGGTGGAATTTTTCCTATCGCTGAGCACGAGGAATGTTGTGCTCTATGTCCGAGATCCACATGGAGAAAGCGGTTAGATAAAAATGCCTTGATCCGGGAAGTCAACAAAAAGGACAGGCCATAAACTTCTGTATACAGAGGTCTATGGACAGGCATACGATAAATGTCAGTCTACTGACCTCTCAGATCGGTGAGCAAAATGAGAGCGGTCATGGCGGCGGTTTAACCTGATTCAACGATCATCGGCCTGCCAGTCAAAGAATCCAACAAACATTACAGCCTTAGCTGAAAGACGGCATTACAGACATTGCTCATACGGCATAATCCAACCAGAAACGGTACATACGTCAGACTGGAGGGTTTGAAATGTCAACGCTTCAGCTAATCATCACCGTTATCTTATAATCAATCGTTCGATCTCTGATTCCACTGGCCGCGGAGCTTTGGCAGAACCGGTAGCCACCTGAGGATCGGATAGAGCGGCCCGTGGCCGGGGCTGTTTGTCGCCAATGATTTCACCAGAACTGCCTCCGAAGTAGGCGGCTATGAGGCGTCGCGCTATTGCCGTTCAGTACCCCGTTTGATGAGCTGAGAACGTGAGACAGCTATGACCAAATGAAGCACTGCAGTTCTCATAAATCTGAAAACAAAGCTCCACAGTTCACACCATGCCCACTCAACTAAAATGATCACGGCGTCTTAGCTTGACGGTTACTTTTTGTGACAGCTATAATAAAACTGAAAACCTGATCACTAGCGGTTGGCTCGATGTCTTGGTTTTAGGACCGCTGATATTGAACAAAAAGTTGCTGTGGTGTCAGTGACCAGGTCTGTAAAGACGGAGTCGGAGCCGAAGTCCAAGTCGACAGTGTTGTCCCATGAATTAGAGATTATCCATGGTTGTCCTGAGTCGGAGCCAGAGTCGGAGTCGATTTTCGGAAGCCGGAGTCGGCTCGAGTCACCGAAAATCCATCGAATCCGCAGCCCTGTCGGTGACTGACCGACCGGCGACCCAGACTCTTTCCCCATGTCTTCCCAATACACGTTCAACTTGCGACTAGCTTAGTAACTTGTAGTAACTTGCGACGTTCACTGCTGGTCTCAAAGCAGCCCGCACCCCAGTTCAATGTCCCTCATTCCATACTGTTCCCTCCACACTCTGTACAGGCTCCACCGGTCCATAGCATCCCTCCTCCCCTACCAGTCCGTACAGCTAGCGTCGTTCATTGACCTGCGCCGCCGGCTCCGCTCCGTCCTTGGTTGGCCTCGCGCTACCCAGACGGATACTTTATTGCCCCCATACCGTCTCCTGCCGAGCTACTGCCGCTTCTTCACGTTCGTCTCGCCGGCGTTAGTATAGAGCTAGTAAGAGCTCGGGACACATTTAAAGCAAAAGTTGGTATACTCGTAGGAGACAGAGTTAGAGCGTAAGCTTGACTCGTGTCGTGTCGTGACTCGTGAGGATGTTGACCTCCCTTTAACCCTTCATTGTTAATCGTGGACATTGGCCTGTCCATTGTCGTTCAATCAGATATCGCAATAAGCTTATCTTGTTAGTCAACACTATCTACCGCGGTGTCCATAAATGGATTTATGACACCCATCAGCAGGAGTTCAATAATCGTTGTGCCTTTAAACCATGTTATTCTAAGTTCTATTCAAAGTCAGTTGCAGATCACAACATTTTCCAATTAAGCTCATCCAGCAGAAGCGCCGGTAAATGTTTTGCCATACGAAAACAGACAACCTTCTCGGCTAGGCAGGACGGGACAATAAGTTACGGTGGAAGATGAAAGGTCAGCGCGCCACTGTAACTGGCAGCCGCAGTCAGGCAGACCGACCCACCGCGCAAAACAAGCCCGTCGAACCCCAGGTAAGCAGGCAGCGGCCAAGTTCAAGGCCACAGCGGCAGTCCCGCCGGGTCGAGGGAGGGAGTCGAGAGGCAGAGGGCCACGACAGGGGTGGCGCCGGGGAGAGGGTTAGACCCGCGGTGGATTTGGGAGAGGGGTAGAGGAGAAGGGGTGGAGTCAGTGAGAGGGGTGGTGCGGGAAAGAGGGGGCGGAGTCGGGGAGGGTCGACTTGGAGGGACGGGCCACGCTGTCAGGGAATCCCGAATCAATCCCCCCCCCCCACGCACCACCGTCTTCGCTTTGTCCGCCGGGTACCGATTAAATCAGGGTCTGTAGGATTACTGAGCCGACACTGACCGGTCAACCGTGACAAGGGGGCCGGCGGTAATGCGCCGGTAGCGTCTATCACTGAGGGCGGCGCGGGGCGAGGGGCAGAGAGACTCACCGTCCATTTCAGGACCAGGAAAACTTGACAGTGTCGAGCAATAGCAGACAATACTGGACAAAACCAGAGACGACGGAACTTCCAAACCGGTACCGACCGACCAATGTGGGCAACTCACTGTTTAGAAAGAGCTTTGGAAGTTGTGTGAAGTAGAAGGATATGGGGAGAAAGAGTGACCGAGAAGCGAGAGACAAAGATATTTGAAGAAATCATCAGAACTTTTGTACTCACCCAAGCAGGTAAAACTCCAGTCCCATGGTCATCAGAATGGAGAACCTTCGTAGCGCCGTCAACATAGGTAAACTGAAAAGAACAGTTGAGATATTCGTCACTGACGGCCCTGATCGGGTTGCTATCGGATACTGGTCCTATGCGAAAACATCAACATAAAACATTTCAGTGATGCGAATAATAGAACAGGGGAATTCAGATGTTTGTGGGATATTGTTTAACCTGATGTTTTGATGTCCTCAAGTTAGCATTACATGCATCAAATGTTTATGGTCGAGGCACTTCGTCTGGTACTTTTTAGATGAAATGGAAATACTCTGAAGTCTGAATGATCGATGCAACACAATTTTCATTTGCAGTTCTGGCAAAGGCTGAGCAAATTGCCTAGCATGAAAACTGGGTGCCGTACACGGTAATTCGCAAACCTCGGAGTAAAACTCACCTGAGCATTTTTGTACCTCCTAGACCCGTGACTTGATTTCCTAGATAGACTACAGGTAGCGGCCATATCTGAGGGACAAAGAGCTCAGATCAGACATCTGCACCAGCCACCAGACCATATTATGGCGCTATGTGAAGGTCGGGCGAAGACCCATTGACGTCATTTCTCCTCCCTGCGCACCAGTGACGTCACGTAGGCCTCAGGCGAACAGCAATCACCCAGAGAGGACGCTGACCTACCTGACTGTCACAGAACAAAGACATTCATCCCTCCTACAATTACAGCGAACTGCGGCGAAAACAACCCGGGGCAAAAAGCAAACGAGCACATTACCAATCGAAACCCTTTCGCTTTACCAGCGCAGCACTAGAAAAATAGCCTTGTGCGGTGACCTTAAGCTTGACCTTGAGAGGACGCGTACCTGGCGTAGAAGACAAGGACAAAACCCCATATCCCCCCCCCCCCTCCAATACCCACCCCTTCAATTGGAGCCATTACCACCTGGTCGATGACACGAGATTTCAGTCCTAATCGACTCCCTCTACACATAATTGCGCTGCACAGCTATGATCTTTAACTTCACGGCCTTCTGGAAACCTTGTTCACCTTCCAAGGTATGCGTTCTGGGAAGGTGGCTATTCCTGGTCTCCCCTCCCCTTCCCCGTCACTCCGGGACAAGGCAGCTGATCACGGGAAGCCATAACTCTAATAGCACCCCGTGCCCTCCCACCTGACTCATAGGTGTCTAATTCTGGCCGTCGCCATAACAGCCTTAAAATAACCTCATCGTACCAGTTCACACAAACCATGCTACCACAGACATTAATGATAAACTATACGTCTTTCGCATCAACATAACCGCTCACCTTGCGTGGTATACTCCTGTCGAGGGCTGGAAACTGTACGTAGCCTACGAACCGCAGTGCACCTAGGGTGACAATGGTCACCAACATCTGAAACAAGGCAAACGCTGCGTCAGCCACATGGTAAAACAGCCACACTCTGAGTTCGGCTGAGGTGGCGCTGATTCTGGGTTTTGAGCATCCAGCCTGTGTTGGTTGCCTAAGTCCAGAACTGGCTGGAGCTCTGAGGCGGCGGAATAAGAAGACTGGAAATGAAGTCGGCATAGAAATAAGAATTGATGTTAATGCAATGAAGCCATATAAATTTATCACGGATGCTGCGTTGGGGAGGGACTGGATTACTCCGTATAAGCATATTGAGTTAATCGAATTTCAAACAAGCAACTGGATGGCTACATTCAGTCTTCCTACTTCCGATTATCAAAATGCCTTCTGCTCCTACACACGCTATGGAAATGGTCAGACTACTACTTGGTACACCTTCCCACCATTTCCACCCCTTCCCAGACCGGCGGTACGGTTGCTCCGTAGGCGAGTGCCCCACCCTCGGCCGATCGATTAGCTGGGTGACGCATTCCCATGCATTCCCACACATGGGGGCGCACGGGTTGTCACGACCGCAAAGGCCAAACAAAGCACACCAACAGCGCCAGGTCAGACTCTCTGTGGGGCCGGGGAGTGGCCATCGGTACTGTACGAAACAAAGTTTTAGTTTCAAAAGGCGGCACTGCTGATGATCGAGGAGCCCCGGACCCTAGCCATTGCGCTAGAATTGCGGAGATACAACAGTCCCCGCTGAATAATTATGAAGCTGGAGAGAGCTTAAAAGTGCCCATAGTAGAAAATGATTGTGAAAATGAAAGTGATTGATTCTTTCCACGAGTTCAAAAACCTGTCCAAGATTCATCGGAACAATCCAGTTGCCAGATATTGTAAGAAAAGAAAGTGCGACTTTGCGATGAAACACAGACTTCCATATTTTGCTGCAGAAGCATACTGTCAGTGTCATATTGCCAGTGTCAGAGAATGTCCACGTATGTCGCTGCATAACGCTCAACCCAAGCTTCCAATTCAGCTTCAAGTTCGACCAGATTGCTCTGTCCAGCAATATCCGGCACTCGGAGCAGTCCCGGGACACTGCCCCGCAGCTGACGTGCGTGTGACTAACGCATCAAGCCAGCCGCGCACATTGCGTAACCGAGGACAGTACGTATTCCGATACTGCCGAGCGCTGTGCCCACAGCCGAGCTGTGCCGCCACGTGCTCGGTCAGCACGGCGACGCAGCACGTGCAGCTCGGGGGTAGCCGGGTGTCGCCGCAGCCATTAGCTATCCAGGAATGACTGGGGAGCAGCAACTGGACGGCAGCACGGCAGAGCTGCGTCCGTTACAAGCCACCGCGTGGGTCTCCCTTACAAGTGGAGAGCTGGGACTGGGACGGGGGTCACTCTGAGCAAAAATAAAGTTCGACTCTGAGCACCATCACTTTTAAAATGTGCCCGCACTTCATGGCATGTTCATTGTCCAAAATCGAGGACAAGACGCGGATAACGGAAACCTTTAGCAGAACACTACCTACCTGAAACCACTGTCTGTCGGCAACAACATAAGTTCACAGGTAGGCTAAATCATAGCAGAGAGTGCGACGCTTTTGTCAAATTGTGTGACGCCATTCGAGTTTCAGTCTCTAACAGCAAAGCAAAAATATTTTTTTATATAACGTCAAGACGCCTGTATAATCTGGAATATGCCAATGACTGAGCTTCACAGAAAACCCAATCAAAGGGCACACAACCGACTGAACTTTGGTGTCACTTTATGGTTCATCCATAGCCGTCACAAATCACACAGAGTATTACGATACCACGGGAGCGTCTGGCGCCTCAGATCAGATTACGGGACAAGATTACGTGTCCATTGGGCTGAGCGTAATAATGCGTAATCGCGTCATCACTAAACACCTTCGGAGCATGTCTTCATACGCGTGGCTCATAAATAGGACAATCGAAAAGAAAATTGACGGGTAGAGCAATACTGAAATAATTATGATCTGGCGAAGTGATCGGGTCTGTCGGCAGTCTGATTATCTCATCCATTAGTCGGGCAAAGGCTTACGGCCAACAGAGAAATCATTGTGATCACTATCAGCGTAAGCACATACGAGCATTCTTTTACTATTATCTCGCCCCTGGGCCGTATCTACAATGTAGGGAATTGAACGCCGTTTGCTGTGCTACCGAAAAAAGTTGTGCTGACATTCACTGTCAAGCTAGAGCTTCGGTACACCATCCCGGTTGAAAGCGTTTGCCCGGCAAGGATTCAAGAGATGCCGGGCTGACGTAATGAGCTTTGGATAGGATTTTCTGACCACATAGATAACATAGATTCATGTTATCTATGCTGACCATTATTCTCTTATGCACTGGCAGCTGCAGCCTCGTGCTGGTTTGGTCGGTGTTCAGATGGCAAATGTCGTTGCCTAATTAGACTCAACAAACGCGCCAAAAATGGCATCACATCGTACCTGCATTGCAGCAGCGTTAGTGGGTACAGGCCGAAGATCCCGGCATATCCCCGTACAGTGCCAAATACAAAAACATCTATCTCCGTAGTCCGTAGATAATAATTATCAGCAAGGATATATGAAACCAAATCCTTTGTTGTTTATTGGGACTTTAGGGCGCGCCGACAAGATCATTTTGCGCCCAATGAACCCAAATCAGTAAATAACGATAAGCAGGTAGAATAAACTATTATCCACGGCATCAGCGAGCGGTAATATGATTCCCACGATGATACATTCATTGCATCGACATACCGAATCAATCACGTCACCTAATGACAGTCCCCGAAGACACGGTGCGGAAGCCGAGTTCCCACCACCGGCAACGGCCATCTCCAGCTCAATGCGCCAAGGCCGATTTGCTCGATCCGGATCAGATCGAGCTACACGAGCGGCAGAAGAAAAACCCAGTGCCCGTTAGCTACCGTGACACCACGATTGGGATCGCCAGACACCCAGCGGTCCTGACCGCAGAGCGGCTGCTGGATTGTGTTTCCGGGCAGAAACAACGACGATCAACCATGAAGAGAAGAGTAGACGGTAAGCAGAGCATTGACCGCCCTGACACAACAGCGGACAACATGGAATAACAGCAGTCGCCCCGAGGATGCAACGTTGGTCACAACAGCGACCACTCTATATACAAACGATAAGCAAGATAGCAAACGGTAACTAGCGGCACAACAGACGGGCAGCAAATAGCCAGCACTTCAACAAACAGTAGATAGGGTAGATGCCATTCTATTAGCAGCGGACCCAGTAGCAATCTGGCCTGAGAACTCGGAAAGCATCGGGCCCATACAACCGGTTCCGAGCGGATGTTCCGCGGTCCGATGGCAGGTCAGGGCCGGACAAAGCGGCGGTGCCACCGGTTCCAGTCAGCCGGTCTGAGAGTACCGAGTACTGAGCACTGGGCGGTGGGCGGGGGGCTGACCGGCGGATTGCGATCCAGTCAGCCGGTCTCAGGAAATGAGCACTGGAAAGACAAATGACCGGCGGATAGAACGAGTGCAGTCGTGGATCGAAATTCCTCTAATCTCGAAATTCCTCGCAAAATATGGTACCATTCCTCATATGACACCGTTACGACTAGTTGAAATCGACCACAGAAGCGCTCACACACAGCAACTCGTATCGGAGCACCTACGCTTCACAATCACAGACGAGCGAACAGTACAAGCAGAGTATTGTAAAAGGACCACACTTCCACCCACAAGGTCAACCGTGGAGAGCACCCCAATAAAATTGGCTACCAAGGATCCGACGTCACTATGACGTAACTATGACGTCATGATCAAGCGCAGCGGTCGGTGACACCCAGTGGGAGGTCACGGCTCTACTGGCTGGTCGCTGCGGCTCCAAACCGCGATAAGGGCGGACCGCTAGAATCTTATCAATTGTTACCGTACAATAGTGGATGCATATGCAAATATCCGGGAATAACTATCATAATAAAAGATAGTAGTACGTTTAAAATGCGGAAACAGGCGAGAAAACTTATGACAATGTCACCGAGCATCAAATGCCACTGTTCATCAGTAACCACCAAGCGTATGCATGAGGAGAACCTACTTTCCAGACGCCATATACGACGTTATGTGCTTACTTGGACTTGCAGAGTAGGTAACAATAAAACTAACCCGACGACTCTAATACTAGTCGGCACACTGGTAGCAGAAACAACTTTCCTCTGGTCATTTAGCACAAGTTTCCAACTGACCAGAAAATAATGCGGGACACAGATGTGCCAGCACCATCATTTTTCGGTCAGTGACTCCAACATTCCGCCACATGTGTGCACTGCATATGGTTAGAAAGGCAGCTCGAATAGGCGGCATAGAAACTCTATTTGTGTAATTTATGACGTAATGTAGCGCTAGTTCATCACACTTTCTTTTGCGAATACAGATCATACTACCATTACAATAATACAAAAGCAATACGACGACAAGCAATCATCTAACCGATGCCACTCCAATGCATGCAACAAATACAATAGGTCCACCCACACCCACACATGCATCGTAATTGAAAATATTCTTAGTGCTTACCTGACAAACGCCCAGCACTAAAAACGACGGAAACCTGCAAAAGAAAATTTAATTAGTCACCAAGTCAAAACCATTGAATACATTTCCCGTGACTCCATTTGAACATACGGTCAAATACGGACAGATAGAACAGTGGAATGTGGATGAGCCACATAGGGTATGAAGCGCGGACGTATGCTCCCTATTGTTCGTCAAGTTGTAATGTTGGAACGAAATTATCATAGGCACTACGCCAGAAGCCTGTAAATTCGAAACATAGTCTCGCGTCTCGACTGTAAACAAGCATAAAAGTCTACAGCCGTAACGTAAATTAGAGCCCCATCGCAAATAGCGAGATCGAAATCGCAGAGCCTGAAAACACCGCAAGTCGCCTGGAAAGAAAAAGGAGCAGAAGGAGCATTTACAGCCCAAATAGGGATGGCATTTTAAAGGAAGTTATTTATTGGGGGGGGGGGGAGTTGTTTTCCCTATCCCATAATAACATTCAAGTACCTTACACCCACGCAAAGCACCTGTCGACTAGAATAAACTCCAATGTAGCACCATGTTGGCTCTTAGATGTATACGGCATACCGTTTTATAAAACGTGTTTGTCAAAACACTACACTTTGTGCCGTGTGAATAATTTTCCCAAGCATCCAGATTAAAACCACATGCATTTCTAGATCACGGGAACAGTCCACACTTCAACTACTTACTTTTTCACTGTGAGCACCTCCTTATTCACCGCCATGATGGCAAACGACGAGAAGGCATAGCTGGCCGCTGATGAGGTGCGCAGCCAGAGGGGCGCCTCAGCGGGCGGGCTGGCCGGCGCGCCACCCATCCTGGCCGCCTTCTCCTTCGCACCGGCACTGGCGGCGTCACCGACTGAAATGGCCGTCATCGAGTCACGTCAGCCGTCACGGACGTCACAGCCGTCACTGGCTCGGTCAGCCGACCAAGCTGTGATTGTGGGGTCGGCGGGAGCGCGTGTCTCACGGAGTACGGAGCGGACGGGCGCGGCACGGTCCTCGCGCGGGGACCGACGGCGGCCGACTGACCGCCGCCAGCCGAGGCTCCGAGGAGTCCGGGAAATCTCCGACCGCCCGCAGGGGGGACGGACCGGGAGGGAGGAGCGGCACGTGGGGAGGGGAGGAGAGGGGTAGAATGGTCGACGGGGAGGGTGGCGGTGGGAGAAGGTCGGAGGGAGAGGAGGGAGGGAGGGGAGGAGGAAGAGGGGGAGAAGGATGAGGAGGGAGGGAGGGAGGGAGGGAGGGAGGGAGGGAGGGAGGGAGGGAGGGAGGGAGAGGGAGGAGAGGGAGGGAGAGGAAGAATGAGAGGGAGAGGGAGAGGAAGAATGAGAGGGAGAGGGAGAGGAAGAATGAGAGGGAGAGGGAGAGAGGAGGGAGAGGGAGAGGGAGAGGGAGAGGGAGAGGGAGAGGGAGAGGGAGAGGGAAAGGGAGAGAGAGAGGGGAGGTGGAAGGGAGAGAGAGAGAGAGAGAGAGAGAGAGAGAGAGAGAGAGAGAGAGAGAGAGAGAGAGAGAGAGAGAGAGAGAGAGAGAAGAGAGAGAGAGGAGAGAGGCGGAGAGAGTGGTTATGGAAACGCTGGAGTTTGCTGACGGTTGACATGATCAGTCACTAGTCAGTGCTAGCAAATACACTGTTCGCTGTCGGTTGAGTTGCCTTGGTCATACATTGCTTTTTCATCTACGGAACAAGCAGAGTTTCAATGCATAGGTGACTCAGGTGAATAGATTAGTTTATTCATAAGCTCGAAAATTTGCACAGGGCATTCTACGCAACTGTCGCCCAGAAACCAGAAAAACAAAAAGCGCATAGGTGCTCGCTTAGATCAGTCAACATTGAAACTGACGCAACATTATCTAATAATCACGTGCTATTAAGGTCATGTATCATGTATGACTTGTCAATAGCGAAGAGCCACTGCAGCGGGCAGGTGACATTTTCGAACCACAGCATTTTAAAGGTCCTTTCAAAGGTCCTTTCAAAGTTCAGCCAGTCAGGCTGAGTCAAACCAAGTATCCCCTACAATGATTCACATCCAGATGTCACTGTGGCAGAGTGGTACATGGACTTACTAAGGCAGTAGTGGTCCATAGACCGCAAGCCATTGCCACATAGCAATGGCCACAAATGGGACAGCAAGAGATGGAGACAGAGGTGGTCACTTGGTCAGCCAGGAACTGTGACATCATATTTTGATACCACTGGGGATGGCTTATAGATTACATCCCATACCTACATCCCATATTGTCTGGTGACTGGGGAATAAAAATTACCTTGTTTTGTCCAGAGCAATGCTAACGTCCTTACATGCAGTTGGGAAAAGAATGTCATACACGTGGTTGGAGAGCAAGGAGTGGTTATATGAAGCTGTGAAATGGGAAATGGGTGGATGTGAAATGGGGGTGTGACTGAACAATGCAGAATGTTGTGCTGAGAGTAAACACTAAACATGGCTGGGAAGTGAAAAATATGCACAATATGGATATTGGAGGCTGTGAGATAGATGTGTGATTGGGGTTCAGAGACTTAACTATTGTGGCCAGAAAGTGGGAAATGTCCATGGCTAGGGAGCACTGACTGGAATGTACCTGTGTGTGATTAAAGAATTGGGACTGGGGTATAACATATCTACGTTTTAAGTGTAATCCACTTAAAACGTAAAAATAGAAATGTCCCAAAACTTAATACGAAAATATTCCAGTCCCCGGCCAAGGAGAGCCCTTCACCAGAGAAGGTGAAAATGAACCAGAACCAGAACGGGCACCACAAGTGGGAGTACCTACCGAGTCCCAACAATTAATTCAGCATTTTAATAACAGACGCATTTACACAGGGTTTGTTGCAAGCTCTGTCCGTGATGTTGCAAAAAATGCTAATGGTGCTTTAAAATTTACAAAATGGTCCTCTCTAAATATATGAAGACCACCACCACTGCATCAAAATAATTGCCAAATAAACGAGCTACAGTGACAGCATCGTCAAAAATGCTATGCAAACGCGACGGTAAATGTCAAGTTTAAGTCCTAAGAAGATTTCATTGATAAATTTTTCATATTCTTACATTATTTGACATCCTGAATCCAAAAATGATACTCATATGTCTCGCAAATAAAAGAAAAAAACATAATCAAACCTGACCTAACCTTACCTACTTACCTATAACCTACCAACCTACAACCTACAAACCTACCCTAACCTAACCTAACCTACAAACCTACCTACCTACAACCTAAAACCTACAAACCTACAACCTAACCTAACCTAAAACCTAAAATTTTTGTTGTTTCATATTTGTATCAACAGCGTCACAATTGTAGTTAGGACCTAAACTTGACATATACCAACGCGACTAATGTTATGTCCTTAATCAATTCCCGAACCCACGCTTCAACAGACAACAACCCTCACAGTCACGGTCATAGGTATGATAGATACCACACATTTACAGCAGGGCAATGCAGAACCGGATCCCTCGCAAAACTCACCTTGGCAAAACCAAGCAAAACCCAAGCAAAACCTATAGAGCCTTGGGCAAAACCAAGGCCATATTTATAAACTATTGGGACAGCGATTCTTGTTCTTACTTGATTGCTCATGAAGTCCGCAGATAAAAGCAAGCATGCGGTATCATATGGCGGCATCGGAAAAATCAACCAATTGTCGTCAGGATTCTCACCGAGAGCTGATTTTGCAATTTTTGAACAGTGATGAGAAGGCTTTTGCATACAGCGAAGTTTTTTACGTTTTATGTTGTACTTACTACTATATTGCGGAATCAGCACTATACATATTTCTTTGAAAAAATTGACTTCTCATTCAAAACAATGGGAATAATAGCATATTAAGTGTTGAAATTTTACTTCTGATGTTTGAGTGGCGCACAATTTGTCGGGGAGAGTTTCAAATCGATGTTTGAAAATGTAGTAATCAACAAATATTTAGTGATAAGACAGACAATCTTGAAAGCATCCTTTGTAAGACAATTCCGGCGCAGCTAATTCGGTTGCGGTGGCCGCGGTGTGAACGTTTTTGGAAAGCCACGCCGCGCGTGTATGCCCGAAAGCCGCTAAATACTGCTTGTTATTACAAGTTTTTGTGGTTATTTTGTAATTTGTAGGGCAGAAATTCAGAATTTTCACAGATATCTTTGGCCTCAATCTCAGGTAGGTTAAAGAGTGGTAGGTTATATAATATTGAGTATACGTTTCGCTACATCTTCTCAACCTCGCCTCATGACCTTAATCAAAATAATTCAGTAGGCGGAACTATGGTCAAGCGTACCCATTTTCGGGAACGCATTTTCGTTCCCATGTTTGGGAACGATAAACCCAAATATGGGAACGCCATGTAGGCATTATTTAAAACCAGAAAAAGAACCATTAAATGACGTCCAAAAAATATAAAACAATCGTGAACCGCCTGATATTTGTCTCAATATTGTTGGGAAAGAGTTTGATATTGTAAAGCCCATCGTAGTTTCAAATCGTTCCCCTATTTCTAAAGCAGTCCATCATCCGGGCCGCGAGCCCAAATTTGGGAACGCTCTCGTACGCTGGCGCTGCAAGCGTTCCTTATTATGGGAACGGCGTACCCAAAATTGGGAACGATTTCACTGACGCCTTTCAGCGGCTCTTTTCATTAAAAAGCATCACGTCCAACGCCGCAAATTATTGTTAACGCAACAATCATCAGATGACCTTTCCGGCAAGACCGTCGAATGTTTCGCCCGGTCTTCTGCGCTTTTATTCCCGTCGATCTCGCAGCGGGCACGCCCCCCTCTGCAGGATTACGTAATTCACAACGCTCAGCGATGTTCAACAAGGTCTTCCATACCTATATCCACCGTCCGCGCCTAGGGTGGAGACATGTCAAGCACCTGTCCGTTTATCACCGATAGTTGACGAGCACAAGGAAGTATCCAAAAATGGGAACGCTGTATATGTTACACCCTCAAAACACCTAGTCCCTATGAAAATCTAGTTTTTTCCTTTCTTGATGAGTGTAAGTGGCAAAAGGCCTGGTAGGATGGGCATGAGGAATGATCGAAATCAGCATAAAAATTATAAATAAGCCACACAGAGCGACCTATATAAGAGAAATTCCCCCAAAACGATCACGCTTAGAAACACGGAAGACAAAAACCACGCTCATGACGCTCCTTATAAAACAACTCTAAACAGCTAGCATCCAAATAAAATATGTCTTTCCGGGATGATAAAATACAGCTGAATAATTTTAAACCACTGAAACTGAGTTTACAACAGTAGTTCGGTAAAATCACTGACGTTCCATGCGGTCGTGCGCCCCGACACCAAAAGTCAACAATATTACCCCGGGACTGTCCGCGTGTTCGCTTGCATATGTCGGCATCTGGTGTCGCTAGTATGAAACTTCATAACCAGGCGAAAATTATTATACTTGACCTCAAAATGTAAAAAACGCTTCATTTTCCTTAAAATTGCAAGTAAATTGTTGTATAACCCATCTTTTCACCAGGGTTACTTTTAAAGGGGGGGAAGAGGGGAATTTCCCCCTTCGAAAATTCCGCTCCCCCTTTCAGATCGTGTCTGAACGGCTAGGCAGGGAAGGGGGAATTTCCCCCTTTCAAATTTATTTTGGAGCCCATTTTCAATCAATTCGCTATTCAGATTCTATAGTCATCGTTAATCAGATTCTCGTCATCAATCAACGTTGCTGGCGTTAAGATAATTATTAATTTTCAATTTTCGGTTCCATCCAACCATTTTACGTTCAGTGCAGCAGGAACTCCAGATTTGACCCGATACCGATCGGATAGTCGGTGGGACGGTGGGACCGTCTCTTGTCTTGTCTCTTCCGCCTTTTCGCAATCACTGACATAT